ATCTATTGCAGCAACAAGCAGGGTTTTATGTTGCTTAAGAAACTTGGGCAGCTCCCGTGATCTGGAGATGGAGAGAATCCAGTCTCTGATATGGAGAAAGGAACAATACCTTTGCACATGGATCCCCTCCCACACACAAACACACAATTTAGCAATAGCAATAGCAGTTAGACTTATATAGCAATAGCAATAGCAGTTAGACTTATATACCACTACCTTCCTCTTGTCCTTTGGGGGCTTTGTCTGTTTTTGTCTGAGAAGCGCTGGCTGGCTGGTACAAAGCCCCCCCACCTGCTGAGGAGCAAGGCTGGCATCCCGACTAGGCCAGCTCCCTAAGGTCTCCTGCGCCCCAGCCGTCGGCCTGGCCTGGCCTCTCCTGCCACCCAGCTGGCCAGCCCCGCTCTGGCCTCCCTCCATTCAGGCCGGGCAATGGCTGAAACACAATCCCCTTCTGCAAACCAGATGCTGGCTTTCTAGCCCCAGCTTTGTTTTCTAGGGAAGGCTGAAATGGGGAACAAAAACTGGGGGGGGGGGAGGCTGTGGCCCGAGGCATAATCCGCTTGTTGTAACGTTGGTCTTGATGCGCTCTTGTGTTTCCTCTCCCCAGAGGAGAAGAGGCGCCGGGAGAGGGAAGACCAGATGTACCGCGAGCGGCTGAAGGTCCTCTTCTTCATCGCCATCATCATGAGCCTGCTCAACTCACTCACCACCAGCGCGGGAAGCATCTCCTGGAACGACTTCGTCAATGAGCTGCTGGCCAAGGGGGAGGTGCAGAGCGTGCAGGTGGTGCCGGAGAGCGAAATCGTGGAGATCCACTTGCACCCGGGAGCCGTTGTCTTTGGGTGGCCCGTGAGTGTCCTTTTCGGGGCCTTCGTGCGTTGGGAAGTGCTGTGGTGGGCTTTCGAACCAGGAGCCGGAATTCTTTCAGGTTTCTCTGAATGATTTCAGTCAATGAAAGTGAGAAATAAAGGAAGTCAATGGCTTATGTCTGTTCCTTGATGATTTGAAGGGCTTCCTAGATCAGTGTTTCTCAACCTTGGCAACTTGAAGATGACTGGACTTCAACTCCCAGAATTCCCCAGCCAGCGAATGCTGGCTGGAGAATTCTGGGAGTTGAAGTCCAGT